CTCCTTTGAATGGTCCTTGAGATATGCAGATATTTTAGCCATCTAAGCTAAGTTTGTTACTTTTAATGTCCATTCTTGAATAGTAGGCAAATCTTCCTTCTTCCAGTATTGCGCCACCAACAGTCTAGCCGCGGTTATTAAATGCAAAATCAAATTACTCTCTACAACTGTTCAATCAGTTTCTATACCTAACAAAAATAACTGAGGGGTAAACTTTATCCTTTTTTTTAAAGAACATTTTGCATAATCCACCATATTTTTATCCAAAATGCTTTAACCTTTTTACAAGTCCGCCATTAAATTGTTTTCAACTCCTAGTGACCATATAATTCTTTTCTATGATGACCTATCTCTAATTTGTTGAGTATCTTTTATTATTACTTTATTAAATTCATTTGCTGCTTAACTCGCCATGGAGTTATTCTAGGTAGCCTTTTCTAAGGCCTTTGTGGCTTTCTAACAAGGATTAATCTCTGGCATATTTCTTGACTGCTTGTTCCTTTACTGTTGATGGTTGTTCCTAAGACAGAAACTATCCACTACTTTGATATCTGCAGTGTGAATTCTAAATAGATCCACCCTAATAAGTGAAATTGATTTTGTATGAGCTTTTCAAATTCTGTCATTTTTCTTAGAAGACTTCTCCTTTTTGAGGTCAGTTTTTATTCTTCCAACCATTTGTGGTAGATATGTAAAAAAAAAAAAACCCTTAAAAGCTCTTGAACAAAATAAGCAGCACTATTCAGAACATTTTAGAAATCAAATTGCAATTGCTTTTACTAGTCATAATTCCAAAAGCATGTTAATTTAAAAAAATAACGATGAATTAAAATACATGTTCAGTGCTGCAAAAATAAATGTAGCACATGATTTACAAAGAGATGTTATCAGTACTGGGAATTTAAACTTGGAGAATATGTTGCAATGTTAATATTAATAGTGTATATTAGCAACAGAAGCTTAAAGGTTAAGCAAAAATGGCTTACAAACATTTGTATATTATCCAGCAAAGTGTAATATATGAAGTATTTGAAAGTATAGTTTTTAAAGTGCAAGAATAACATACTAAAGAACTGAAATTAGAAATGTATTTATAAATTATTGATTAGTTGAGGTTAGAGTTATGTGTTAGAAACCAGTATTTTTTTCTATTAATTTAATAGATTTTAGTTTTTATTATTTAATAATAAACACTGGAAATATTTATTCTTAAATAACAATACAGTGATTCAGATCTTTTTTCACATTGTTAAAATAATTTAATGTAATTTCTTTTTATGATTAATTTCTTATCATTAATACATTGAATACAAGTCATACCATCTCAGAAATTCCTCTGCCCACCCACCCACTGATACACTTCTTGGCAACTATTTTTTTTTATCTTTATAACAAAAATATTTCATAATGTAGAAATTAAGATGGCTCCTTATTTTTCCAATTGGGACTTTAAAAGAACTTTTGCCCCTTCCTGTTTTTTTAAAAGAAAATTAGAGCCCACTTTGCTATCTCAGTTGCTGTATTCAAAATATTGCCATGTTGCGAAGGCATATATGTTAATATGTTTGTGGAATTCCACTTTAAAGGTGTTTGTTACATCAGGTTATATAGTTTAGTCTACTAATGAAATATATGAGGCGTCACCTAAATCCATTCTGTGTGTATATAGCATGGGTGAAAATGATTGTACAATTTCTCTTGACAACAGTATATTCTATTTAGAATCTTGGGAGTCATTTGATACATAAATTTAATTAATTTGTTTTGAAAGCTCAATTACATAAATATTGTGGGATCATGTATGTATGTTATAATTGAAGTTAAAATGTAATTTGTTCATGTTAAAGTAGAATAGACCGATTAGATCCCACAGATTAGGCCTCCTCCGAATTCCATCCGCCGGCCAATGCCGGCTGGCGACTACCCGGAG